TTGAGCCCAACAATCTAGCCAGCTTTCTATCCACCTTATAGTCCATTCATCCAATCCATACTTTTTTAACTTGCTGGCAATAAAGCTGTGGGAGACCGTATCAAAAGCTTTGCTAAAGTCAAGATATATCACTGCCACAGCTTTCCCCATATCCACAGAGCCAGAACTAACAGAAGTTTCCAGATCATAGGCCCTGATTCTCATGGGGCACATCAATCACTCTGATGTCTGCTGGGAGAGCAATACAGCAGTGCATAGACAATCCAGGAAGTTTTTGGAGAGTGTTGGGGACAACTTCCTGGTGCAAATGCTGGAGGAACCAACTACGGGTCAGGCTTCTCTTGACCCGCTGCTCACAAACAGGGAAGAATTGGTAGGGGAAGTAGAAGTGGATGGGAACATGGGCAGCAGTGATCATGAGATGGTCGAGTTCAGGATCCTGACAAAAGGAAGAAAGGAGAGCAGCAGAATACGGACCCTGGACTTCAGAAAAGCAGACTTTGACTCCCCTAGGGAACTGATGGGCAGGATCTCCTGGGACGCCAATATGAGGGGGAAAGGAGTCCAGGAGAGCTGGCTGTATTTTAAAGGAGCCTTATCGAGGGCGCAGGAACAAACCATCCCAATGTGCAGAAAGAATAGCAAATATGGCAGGCGACAAGCTTGGCTTAACAGAGAAATCTTTGGGGAGCTTAAACACAAAAAGGAAGCTTACAAGAAGTGGAAACTTGGACAAATGACTAGGGAGATGACTAGGAAACTTGGACAGATGACTAGGACAGATGTAGGTCTCCACCATCAGAGTTGAGAGCCAGGGGAGCCAGAAGTCTGAGAGTGGGAAAATACAGGGAAAATACAGATGCGGTTGCCCTAAACTGTGATGCGAGTCACTTAGGGCTTATCTACATGGTGGGACAATGAGTTCTACAGGGGCATGATTGCTAAAGTGCACTAATGTGTTGCTTGTTAATTAGTCCATATAGACCTTGCTAGTGTGCACTAAAGGTTCCCTAGTGTGCTTTAACAAAGTACTGTTTCAAACAGTACTACCTTATAGTGCAACAGCAGGATCTACATGTTTCAGTTAAGGCACAACACGTTCGTGCGCTTCAGAAATCACAACACTATAGGGTGCATTACCCCACTGTGTAGACAAGTCTGTCTCTGCCTCAGTTCCCCATCTTTAAAATAGGGATAATAGTTCTTCTCTACCTCACAGGGGTGATGTGAGGATGAGTACATTAAAGATTATGAGGCATTCAGATATTATGGTAATAGGACCATAGTAATATCTAGCTAGATCAGTGATACTTAGACCTCAGTGGTTCAGGAGCCAAATTAGTGATCAGCATTACCCAAAAGAGCCACAGTAGTTTGAATTCATTGTTTCATTTACTATACTATATATAATTATTCTCACAGCAAAATGACTGACCAAGTATTCTACAATTTGTTAACAACGTAGTAAAAGGATCCTGAAGTGTTAATAACTTAGATTGGTTAATAATTAAATCACACAGTGTTTTAATATCACGTGCTGCAAAGAGCTGCAGATGATACATTCAAGAGCCACTTGCAGCTCCCAAGCCTCAGTCTGAGTATCATTGGGCTAGACAGTCCTTAGTGCACTGGCCATGGGACTGATTGATATTCTAACACCTCTTTTCCATCTCCAATTTCTATCATTCCATCTCAGGCGAAGGAGGAATTTACAGTCCCAGTACTGCAAGCCCTTATGTGTATACTTCACTTTAAGCATATGCGTAACCGCGCTGACTTTAATGTGACTGTTCACAAGCTTAAAATTAAGCATGTGAGTGCTTTCAATTGTGGCTCCTGAGATTCTCAGGTGATAAAATGCTACTTCATCTCCACCCCGGCTAGGTGAAAGAATACTTTTCCCTCCCCTGCTAAACAACGTTTTAAATCCTGTGCAGGGTTTCCATTTTCTACCATGTTTCGTAGAAAACAGAGGTCTATGTAAGTGTCTGAAACTGAAGTCCTTTTGTTTTTCTGTTGCTCCTGAACTCCACCCTCTCCAGTGGAAATTTTTTGACGCCTGTTGTTTTGTAGTCTTTTCTATGGCTAGGTGGCTGAGTTTTTGCTGTGTAAGAGACAATGACTCAGAGTCCATATCATGCAGAAAGGGACATGGTGAAAGGGTTCTGCTAGCATAATCACCTCACAGTTTCAAGTAGTTTCAGAAGACCAAGAAGTATGTGTGTCACAGTTCCTACTAAGCACATTCTCGGTGCCAGGTGTTGGTCACATTCAGATATTAATTCTTTCGTGGTTATTGTTACTGCTGGTTTTATTCCCTTTCAGTTTCTGAACCCTGCACCTAACATTTCTAGCAATACTTTGCAGTTAACCAGAAGCTTTTCGTTCATCTATGAACCGTAGGTAAATTTACCTTATTATAACAGTTTTGTGAGTCATGTTTTCTTCAGAAGTACATAACAGCATGAAGAAAAATAATACATGAAATGCTGTAGTCCATAGATAAGCACTACTTTTATATAGGGGACTTGTAAAACATTCATAGTGTAATGGTGTCTCAGATTTTCAAATATACTTGTGTGTGATCTCTACATAAATACCGTGTGTGTATGCTGTATTATGTACAATTTTGTTAAAAGATATTGGGCTGCAGTTTGCATTCAGTGAAATGTGTGTATCTACATTGTCTTCAACGTTTCACAGGAATAAATGATGGCAAAATTTAATTCACCATGTCTGAGGATTTCAAAGAAATAGATTCTTAATCCCAGAGTGTTATCTGATGTGGATTAAATTAGAAATCATTCCTTTCCTGCTGCTATAAAGGACCATATTGATTCACCTTATAACACTGAAGTTGAAATCCAAGTGAAATTTAGTCATGAAAAGAATTTCTAGTGCAATTCATTAACTGTAGTATGAATCTTATTGATGGGTATGTTACCGTACTGTGGTTCTGCCTATGTTACATTTGTGGAGTACCCCTTGATGTGAATGGAGATACATACATGAAGGTTAGGATAAGGTCTTCTGTGTGTATATGGCCAGGCTGTTCATGAGATGAGCAATTAATTACAGGGGAGATGATAAAAAGCACAAATGGCATCTATTGACTTGGAGATGGGAATCTAACTCCTCTTTGTGTCTTTGAAAATCTTCTCCCATATCAACTAATCGGTTATAAAAAAGGTGCACAGTGTGAAAATTGCTGGCCTGTTGAGGCCTCTTCTCACTTTCACTGTTCTCATTTCCTTCTCTCTTTTCTGTTCTGATTTTGCAGCTGACGTTTTGTGTGCTTGTTGCAGTCCAGGGTATTAACAGGATTTTAAAGTTTTAGCTAGCTAATGATGGGGACAAATGAGTGAAGTATTCCAGCCCTACAGGGGATTCTATTTTGGGTATTTATTAAACTTTCCTGTCGTACAATATATACTGACAGTGATGAGTGTTAGACCTCTCACCATGTGAAAAATGAACATTTTAAATATGGCAACTTTTTTATTCCAGCTTCCTAACCGTTTCCTCCACGTGCTGCATCACTGCAGGCTGCTGAGCTGGGACTTAGTTGCCAATCAATATTCTGTGTTGAGAAAAAGAAATTGCTGCCACTCAGTGGGAAAATATATAACCAAACTTGCGACCTGTTTAAAAAAAATGTCCACTTTGAAGTCTGTTTTGTAGTTTTAATTAATGCAACAAGAGTTTTTATTTTACTCTCAGTGGAGATAATCTTAATCCATTCACAGCGACCTTTTCTTGTGCAAATTAGCTATACACGCTTGTTTAAGCAAATGGTCCTTCGGAAGATCTCTTCCTAATGACAGGGTTTATAATTGAAAATTGGCTTACTCCCATCTGCCTGCCCTGTGTGAGAATATAAAAATAGATCTGGATATATATATACACACACACACACATACATACACACATATACATATTTATCTTCTATCTATATATGTAAAAAAAAAATCAGTGCCTGCAGGCCACGATTAAATTAGATTATTAGAATTAGAAAATTTCAATGCCGAATGTTACTGTCAAAGTAGCACCTGTCTCCAGAGTTCTGGTAACTCTTGAGAAATGAGGGGTATTTAATCTTGATCCTTTTGTCTCAGACCCAGCAGGCTGCAGGGTCAGTGCCATTTACAGTTCCATAGGTTTCCATTAATACAGAAGTACAATTAGCTAATAACTGGCTTGAAACTGTTAGGATTTGATGTGTGTTTTTGGTAAATGGTTTTGAAGTGATTGATGGAATTGGAACAAAAACAGTGGTATCTCGCTTAAAGCTTTAATTTTAAGGATCAGAAGTCATTGGAGCTCTGTGGTTAATTATTAAAATTTGTTTCTGTGGTTTTTTTTCTTTAGCTGATTTCCCCTTCCTCCCCCCCCCCCCCCCCCCCCTCCCCCCCCCCCCCCCAATAACAACTGATGACCCTTCTTTATTATTTCCTGATTGATTAGAAAAGATTTGTATTGTTTTGCTGAATATTCTGGGCTGTTTTTTACAAACCTCTTGCTCAGAGGTGAACAAATTAATGCTTGCTTGTGAATAAATCTGGTTCACTATGTGCAGAGTCTTGAAACCCTGTTTTTGTGAAGACAGTTGGTCTTAATTGTCTGTATTTTCCTTTCAAATTCAGAGCTCCCCCAAAGATATTTTAGCAGTAAAAAACACCATATGTATATTCCTAACAACAAAATTGATGATTCAAAAGGCAAAATCCCTTTTGCCTATTCTCTGTTAACCACATTGATTGCTTTTCCATTACAAACGAAAAAGAGATGGGGGGGAGGGGAAGTGGAGGAGAGGAAGAAAAAGACCGAGAGACAGAACGGTTTAACCTTATGGTGAGCGTACAGAAATGGACTTGATTGGAGATGATTTTATCCAGATGTATATCAGCAGATGTTTGCATTTTCATGCACAGTTACTCTAGGACTCATCGTTAATTTGATTTTCTCTTTCTTATCTCCCTCCACCCCCCTGTTCCTGTTAGGTATGATTATCGTGAAATGCTGCACAATGCCACTTTCTGTCTGGTTCCCCGTGGCCGCAGGCTTGGATCCTTCAGGTTTCTGGAGGCTCTGCAGGTAAGAGATGGGGATTAAAACTTTGACTCTGCTGGTTGGAATTCAGCTGGTGATATCAAGAGTTGGTGTTTGGGGTTGTGTTTAATTTCCCTAGTGGGCAATAATCCACACTGCGGAAGCCTCTAGTCATGCTTCCGAAGCAATTGGCAGCTTCTTCGCAGGAGGGGCTCGGCACTGAGCTCGTCTGAAGATTGAATAGCGTTACCTCCATGAAGAGGCTTTCCCTGCTCATTGTAGAAGAGGCGAAGTTGGATCCGTTTAGAGCAGTGTTTGCCCAACTGAGTCTGGATTCCCAGGGGAGACCTTGACCTGTTCTAGCAAGTCCTGGGGCAATAAAAACAGCTTATTGTTTTCAGCTGAAGCAAACTTGCCTACGCGTTGTTTGCTGTGCTGCATACTGAATGTGCAGATGATGGTTCTGTTCTGCTGCTTCCCATCTGAAAGTAATGCAGCAAGAAGGACATTCAAACCGGCTGCTGTCTACGTGTTTAAAATATTCTTCCGTATTGTGTCAGAGGCAGGACTCCCCAACTCCTCTTCACCTTTTGAAATCTTTCAGTCAGCAAGATGCTCTCTTTTGTTTGGCCAGCAATGGAGAGCAAAGGCATAAGGTTTGAAAATCCTGTGACAGGCAGTGTGGTTCAGTAGGTACAGCACTGGAGCAGGAGTCAGGTAACAGGGCTTCTATTCCTACCTCTCCCACTGAGCCACTCTGTCTCCCCCTGCCGAAGTCACTCCTCTTCTGTTTCCCCTCCCCTAAGCACTGCACTAAGAGCCAGCATCTCCTAACTTCTGGTCTTTACTAAGATACTGACTCCCTGTGTTACTTCAGCTAGGTCACATCACCCCTTTTCTCTGGTATTCCTACTCTGTACCTACTTCCCAGGGAAGTTGTGAGGCGTAATTAATGTCTGTGAAGTATTTTGAAGATGAAAACTGCTAATTGTTGTTGTGTTGGGGGGTTTTAGACAATGTAATGCGGTTTCCTTACCAACAAACAGAATCTTTACCCATTGTAAATACTGCTGCAGCATAGACTTGACTAGATCAAAGTTACTGCACAGAATTAGAGAGTGAGAGAGAGAATGCACTGCAATTAGAAAACTTCCCCAGGCAGTGTTCCACTTATTACTGAGCATGGGAAAGACCAGCTCATTTATTGTACTGTCTGGGCGATAATTCAGATCAATTAAATCTGGCTTGGTCTAGAAGAAACTGAACCACCACAGCAATGGTCTCATCCAAATCCCACTGAACTGAGTGCGAGCCTTTCCAATGACTTCAACAGACTTTGAATCAGGTCTCAAGTTCTGGTCCAATTGACCAACAGGTGGCAGTGAATTATTTATTTACTTATATAGTACCAGTAATGTGGTGTTTACTAAACATTACACAATTATGGTTGCTGCCTCAAAGAGTTTACATTTTAACAATAGCACATAGTATATCGGACACACTGGCAGAACAAAAGTTGGTGATAAATGAGTGATATACACCTCTACCCCGATATAACGCGACCCGATATAACACAAATTCGGATATAACGCTGTAAAGCAGCGCTCTGGGGTGGGGGGCTGCGCACTCTGGCGGATCAAAGCAAGTTCGATATAACGCGGTTTCACCTATAACGCGGTAAGATTTTTGGGCTCCCGAGGACAGCGTTATATCGGGGTAGAGGTGTATGTTTATATTTAAATATAAAGTCAATGGATTAAATTTTCCAAACTGGTCTCTCTGACTGTGGCCAGGTTTTGTACATGCAGTTGTTTACAAGCACAGAACATATACTATGATGTACAAAATGGATAACTAAACATCTACTCTTATGGAAAAGAGCTATAGAGTTAAATATCAAATACATTTTCAAAACGTTTTTCTTAAACCGTCTTATGTAATTTAATATATAAATTCTCCCTAGAGAACTCTGTAGTTGGTTCACAAAACATCTACATATGAGTGCAAATTCTCCTTTGTACCTGCAAAATCAGTGTTTCCCTGCATGCAAACAAATGTGGAGCCTGTTTAGAGAGTGGAGATCAGCTGGAATCTTGGCAGATGTGTTGTTATGTCTGCCTTGTAGGGCCCTTTGCAGGCTTTCTTTTTTAATGTCTTTCGTGAGAGCTTGGGTCCTGACTTCTGCAGAAAATGCCAATAATTCAATTTGTATGCACTTCAAAGTTTGTGCTAATCAATGACCACACACTCAGTGCTTCTTCTAATGTTTGCAATTTCTCTGTGTGCAGGCTGCCTGTGTCCCAGTTATGCTTAGCAATGGATGGGAGTTGCCATTCTCCGAAGTGATTGATTGGAACCAAGCTGCCGTCATAGGGGATGAGAGATTGTTATTACAGGTAAGAAAACGGCTGTGGCCTTCAGCATATTGCTCGAGTGCTGCTGCCACCAACTAAACTTGGAGGAAGATGAATCCAAAAGGTCAGTTAGGGTTAGAGTCACTGTAAATAGGAAGTCATTTAATATGACATCATTCATTTTCTGACCAGAAGGTCACTCAGACATTGTTAAACACAGAAGAGTCTTTTTAAGAGTATCAAATTTCTTTTGGATGCCTCTCTAATAGGATGTCCTCCGTTATCTATCAACTACATGCCCGAGGGTGGACGCATCATTTGGGAACAATTTCTGCCACCCGTACTTGTACTGCAGAATACCTTACTCTCCAAAGAGACCTGTTGATGTAGATTGCCATATGTACAGGGAGATGGTGACATTGAAGATACTACGTGTGGATTAAGGTGCTACCCAACATTGGTGTGGGAGGCAGAATCTGTCCCTTATCTTTCTGTACCTCACTTTTTCATTTTTAAGGGTGATGTTACTTATCTCTAAATTGTTTATCTCCATGAGGGAGAGTGAAATAGGACTATAGAATTACCAGTTAGTGTTGTGTTGTTACTGTCTTTATCTGCTTCTTTCTTAAATGCTCTCAGATTGTTTTTCCTATTTCTATAATACTATTTCTGTGTTTTCTTCAAAATCAGTTAGAAGCCAAAGTATACAATGATATCATCAAGGAAACACCATTGAAAAACAATTTCTCCAGTGCAGAACCTATTAAAGGACGAGCAAAGCTGTGGCTGTAGTCCATTGGCTAGGGCACTAAACTGAGATGTGGGTTCTAGATTTCTGGCTCTGCCATTGAACTGCTGTGTGATCTTGGACAAATCACTTCTCTCTGTGTGCCTCAGTTTCGCCCTGCAGTAAAATGGGCATCATGATTCTTCTGTGATTTCTAAAGCATTTTGAGGCAAATGGGTGAAGTGCCAAATTTTAAAGGTATTTAGGTACTGAGGCACTAGAAATTAATAGGAGCTAGGTGCTCATCCCTTTTGAAAAATCCACTAGAGACACTCTTCTGCATCTTTAGTTGATGAAATTAGGGATGTAAATAATGTGTAAAACAGTAATCATATAACCGATTAAAATTCTACCCGGGGATCTAGGGGTGCAGCACCCCCACATTTTAGAATCATAGAACTGGAAGGGACCTCGAGAGATCATCTAGTCCAGTCCCCTCATCTAGTCCAGTCCCCTGCACTCAGGGCAGGACTAAGTATTATCTAGACCATCCCTGACAGGTGTTTGTCCAACCTGCTCTTAAAAATCCCCAATGATGGAGATTCCACATCCTCCCTGGTCACTTTATTCCTGTGCTTAACCACTCTGACAGGAAGTTTTTCCTAATGTCCAACCTAAACCGCCCTTGCTGCAATTTAAGCCCATTGTTTCTTGTCCTATCCTCAGAGGTTAAGAAGAACAATTTTTCTCCCTCCTCCTTGTAACCTTTTATGTACTTGAAAACTGTTATCATGTCCCCTCTCAGTCTTCTCTTCTCCAGACTAAACAAACCCAATTTTTTCAGTCTTCCCTCATAGGTCACCTTTAATCATTTTTGTTGCTCTTCTCTGGACTTTCTCCAATTTGTCCATACCTTTCCTGAAATGTGGCACCCAGAACTAGACACAATACTCCAGTTGAAGCCTAATCAGCGCGGAGTAGAGCGGAAGAATTATTTTTCATGTCTTGCTTACAATACTCCTGCTAATACAACCCAGAATGATGTTTGCTTTTTTTGAAACAGCGTTACATTGTTGACTCATATTTAGCTTGTGATCCCCTATGACCCTCCGATCCCTTTCCGCAGTACTCCTTCCTAGTCAGTCATTTCCCATTTTGCATGTGCGCAACTGACTGTTCCTTCCTAAGTGGAATACTTTGCATTTGTCCCTATTGAATTTCATCCTATTTACTTCAGACCATTTCTCCAGTTTGTCCAGATCATTTTGAATTTTAATCCTATCCTCCAAAGCACTTGCAACCCCTCCCAGCTTGGTATCATCCGCAAACTTTATAAGTGTACTCTCTATGCCATTATCTAAATCATTGATGAAGATATTGAACAGAACCGGACCCAGAACCGATCCCTGCGGGACCCCACTCGTTATGCCCTTCCAGCATGACTGTGAACCACTGATAACTACTCTCTGAGAACAGTTTTCCAGCCAGCTATGCACCGGGGGGAGGGATAGCTCAGTGGTTTGAGCATTGGCCTGCTGAAACTCAGGGTTGTGAGTTCAATCCTCAGGGGGCCATTTAGGGATCGGGGGCAAAAATCTCCCTGGGGATTGGTCCTGCTTTGAGCAGGGGCTTGGACTAGATGACCTCCTGAGGTCTCTTCCAACCGTGATATTCTATGATTCAGGTGCACCACCTGGTAGTAGCTCCATCTAGGTTGTATTTCCCTAGTTTGTTTATGAGAAGGTCATGGGAGACAGTATCAAAAGCCTTACTAAAGTCAAGCTATACCACATCTACCACTTCCACCCTATCCACAAGACTTGTTACCCTGTCAAAGAAAACTATTGGGTTGGTTTGACACGATTTGTTCTTGACAAATCCATGCTGACCATTATTTATCACCTTATTATCTTCTAGGTGTTTGCAAATTGATTGCTTAATTATTTGCTCCATTATGTTTCCGTTACAGAAGTTAAACTGACTGGTCTGTAATTCCCCAGGTTGTCCTTATTTCCCTTTTTATAGATGGGCACTATATTTGCCCTTTTCCAGTCTTCTGGAATGTCTCTCGTCTTCCATGACTTTTCAAAGACAATTGCGAATGGCTCAGATATCTCCTCAGTCAGCTCCTTGAATATTCTAGGATGCATTTCTTCAGGCCCTGGTGATTTGAAGTCATCTAACTTGTCTAAGTAATTTTTGACTTGTTCTTTCCCTATTTTAGACTATGATCCTACCTCATTTTCACTGGCATTGACTATGTTAGATGTCCAGTCTCCACCAACCTTCTTGGTGAAAACCAAAACAAAGACGTCATTAAGCCATTTCCATATTCTCTGTTATTGTGTTTCCCCTCATTGAGTAACGGGCCTACTCTGTCCTTGGTCTTCCTCTTGCTTCTAATGTATTTGTAGAATGTTTTCCTTTTATGTCCCTAGCTACTTTGATCTTGTTTTGTGCCTTGGCTTTTCTAATTTTGTCCCTACATACTTGTGTTATTTGTTTATATTCATCCTTCATAATTTGACCAAGTTTCCACTTTCTGTAGGACTCTTTTTTGAGTTTTAGATCATTGAAGATCTCCTCGTTAAGCCAGGGTGGTCTCTTGCCAAACTTCCTATCTTTCCTACGCAGTTGGGATAGTTTGCTCTTGTGCCCTTAATAATGTCTCTTTGAAAAACTGCCAATTGTCTTCAGTTGTTTTTCCCCTACCAACTCCCTGAGTTTGCTAAAGTCTGCCTTCTTGAAATCCATTGTCTTTATTGTGCTGTTCACCCTCCTACCATTCCTTAGAATCATGAACGCTACCATTTCATGATCACTTCAACGTAAGTTGTCATAGTTGTGTTTATTTACTAGCATTTCGAGTTCTTACTGCTTATTCCCCATATTTCTCACATTAGTATACAGACATCTAAAATACTGATTTGATCCCCCCTCCCCGTTCTGTCTTGTCTCTCCCTTATTTCTGCTATAACAGCTGAAATATTTTACACGGGGCTCAGCTGCTGCCCCCGAGCCTGAGCGGGGCTGGCAGCCTGGAGTGACCCCAGGTGCGTCGGGATGCCGGGCAGCAGCAGAGCCCCGGCACAGGGCAGCAGCCAAGATGCTGGGTGCGCAGGGATGCCGGGATGGTAGACAGCAGCAGAGCCCCAGGTGCGGCAGCAGCAGGGACCCTGGCCACGGGACCCTGGGAGGAGTTTAACCATTAACCGCTTAAACTTTTACATCCCTATATGAAATACTTTTAAAAATCTGACCTCAAAAGCTCTACTTAAGAGAGAACTATTATTATGAATTAATTGCAAGTATAAAAATAAGGTAATTTTTTGCTTCAAAGGACAACACGTTTTTGTAAGCAAAATTATTTAAAAAAATATAATTTGCTGATCTTTGTGCCTTCCTGTAACATGCCATTCGTTCTCTTCACAGCTGCTTCCTTATTGAACAGCTACGGCACCGTTATTAACAGTGTTTGTAAAGTGCTGGCACAGAGCCTGAATGTCTGCTCTGGGAAATGTTTTTGTTATGTTGCAGTTTTTCATTTCCTGTTTTAGAACAGCTCGGATGTTTTTATTTGCATATTCTTGTTACCATAGCACCAGTTTAGCTCCAGTCTTAATTTAGTCTTCCTGCATTTATTTTTGTAGGGTTATCTTTTTTCCCCTTTTATTACCGAAATGACCTTTTATTAAGACGTCATCTAGTTCTAATAATTCCAGTGTAATCCTGCCAGATTAATATTAATATGTCAGTTTCCAAACCTGTCTTTCTGGACAAATAGATTAATAACTAATAGGCGGACACAGTTAAAATGGGAGCTCTGATTTTACTTTCCAGCTGTTATAACAGGCCAGGCACACAGGCAGGCTAAGGAATTCTCTAATCTTGGCACAACGTTTATGGGCACATACATGAAGCACAGTCTTCTGTAGAACAATAACCTCTTCAACTTTCAGGGTCAGAATTCCTTCCGCATTACAAAGGAGAGAGCGTGCCGTAGTTGGAGATGGGTGTTAATTTCATTTTGTGTCCATCACAAGATCGAGCCCTGTGAAATCATGCATGGTGCCATGAAACATTTATGTCTATTAGAAATAATGCCCCATGGCCGTACTAAAATGCAGTCACAATAATATGATTGCTGTTGATAATGGTGCTGTTAACATGCATCACTATACTCCCATACTTACAGGAACCTAATAGAAAACAATGCACTTTATAATCCATATCAGAGGACTGAATTTTGTAGTACGGTGGTATAAACTCAAATCGTAAGATGCCTCATTTGCATACAGGCAGTCCTCCGACTTACGACACAATTGATTCCTTACAATTGCGTTGTAAGTCAGAACTCGGAACCGCAGTCTACTCTATTGTGGGACCAAGTGTCGTAAACTCGAAACCTATAGTCGTAAGTCAAATCAGGATGTCAATGTAGAAGCGTCGTAAAGTCGAGGTCTGCCTGTATATATTTTAACTGCTTCCCTGTACCCCACCCTTCCTGTGTTGCTTCTTTTACAGGAAGGATCAAGCAAAAGACTCTAATATGCCACGGGCCTCTTATCACCCTGACTGCTTTGCTTCTATATGGTATCCCACTCCCTTGGTTCCTTGTCCTTTTAAACCCCAATTCAAGGTCTGAGGGTACGTCTGAACTGCAGTGGAAGTGGGACTGTGATTGCAGCCCGTGTAGACATATCTGAGCTAGCTTTAATCTACCTAACGTGGGTACCTATGGCAGTGAAGCTGCAACAGCACAAACTTCAGTGCAAGCTGTACAAGCCAGCCTGGAACCCTGGGTAACTATTGGGGTGGCTTGCTTGTGCTGAAATTTGTGCTGCCAGGGCTTCGCTGCTGTCAGGATGTGAGTTGCCTAGATTAAAGCTAGCATGTGTGTGTCTGCACATGCCACAATCACACACACACCCCACACACCCCAATTGCAGTATAGACAAACCCTTAGATTACAAGATCTTTGGGGCAGAAATTGTCTCTTACCATTTGTACAGCACATAACAATGTGGAGCCATGATCCTGTTTGGGAATTGTGGGCACTACCTGAATGCAAATGAGTCAGAATAATAATTGTATAACATCTACATAACCCTCCTGAATCTCTTTACATATCAAACCTTAAAACTTTGAATCCTGTTCAGTTTCCTGCAGATGTGTATGAAACTGCACAATAATCTTTGCCACCAAACTCTTTCAGTACATTATATGAAGAATAATTGTATTCTGATCGGGGATATTTTACGTGGTGTGTGTGTGTGTGTGTGTGTGAGAGAGAGAGAGAGAGAGATGGGGTGTGTGTATTAGGGGTGTGGGTGTTTAGGTTAATCTAATAACTAGATGGACGATGATGATAAAGCTATCTTATAATAATGCAAACTTTGGTGCTTGTGTGTAATTAGCCCTGAAAGTAAATATATGACAGGCTTGTGAGAAATAAGAGAAGGAGAATGAGGTGGCCTGACTTGAAATAATTAGAAGTAGGTACCAAAGCAAAATAACTCCCCATTTCTACAAGAAGTGAACACACCCACACTACACTGAAGGGGCCTGATTCTCATTTACACTTAGGCCACTAGCACCACTCTGACAGTGTAAAGAGATCTTGAAGTAGGAATAAATTACAGTTACAACCACTCCAATGGCCTCTTACACAGCCAGAGCAGTGAGTACGGAGACCTTAGAGCTTGTCTACATGGAGAATTAATGGGAAAGTTAGTATAAAATAGCCAGGGTGTGAATTCAAAGGGCAATAGCTATTTCCCACTAACTCCCTCCCCACTTTTTGACATTTAGGTTAATCTGCTTCCAGAGGGAACAAACCTAAACTGCACAAAGGAACTCAATGCAGAATAAGTGTACACATGGGCTGCTAATATGGAGTAGCTATTCCCCTCTAGCTGTTCTGCACTAGCTAGTCCAGGCCTTTTCCCTGAGTAGACAAACTCTTAGTGCAAATGAGAATCAGGCTTTTAAGAAGCTAAATACTAGTCTGTACAGATGTTGGACTCTCTCCAAAGTGTGTGGGGAATGTGGGTTCACACACCCCCTCCTTCTGATCTGGTTTGCAGGATAACTCTCTATCAGGAAGAGGGATGGTAGGATTTATTTTTTCATTTATAAGGAAAGCTCTACCAGAATTAAAGCTGCACAATGAAAAATATCATTGTTTTTGACTTGTAAATAGCAGATGTTTTCTTCTCTCCACGTTATTCCACAAAGGGGTGGCTTTGCTGCAGATGCTGTGATGGTTTCTTCAGGGAATTTGTGTTGCCACGTTGTAGTGACTGCAATCGCAGATCCCTTTAATATACTTTCAGAATGGAGAGCATTGTTGGACTCTAAATACCCGCAGCTACTAGTATTTTAAATTGGTGGTTTGCAAAAAGCTGTGTGCGCAAGGGATTTACTGAAAAGTTCCTCACGGTGACTTTCCACCGCTCCAGAAGTGGAAAAAGTAGCATTTGCTGCCATAGAAACAACTTTCTTAAAAAAATGGAGAATTGCTAGTAAATCCTAAGGTTGGCCAATAGGCTCAAATACCAAAGGTCACAAAAGGTGCCGCTCATTCATTTTCCAGTCGCTGTTCTTTAGCTGCTAATTCACATATCTGTGTCGGGTGGGGGTACTGGCTGACACTGAATCTGTGTTGCTGAGTAGGAGCAGAGAATGCTAGTTTGGGATTCTCAAGCATGTATTAATTTGATCAGGTTACATTGTTTTCCACACCATCTGATTGTAGTGCACCTTGTATTACAGATTCCTTCTACAATCAGGTCTATCCATCAGGATAAAATCCTAGCACTTAGACAGCAGACACAGTTCTTGTGGGAGGCTTATTTTTCTTCAGTTGAGAAGATTGTATTGACCACACTAGAGGTGAGTAACAATTCTCAGATATTAGTCAGAGCAGATATGTTCCTTAATATGTCTGCCACACTCCGTGCTGAGCTGTTGTATGTGTGACCTTGGCTTTCATGACATGTGATTGGTCACCTGAAAAACCTTCAGCAGCTTGATAACTTTTCTCCCCTAAGGAAATATTTTCTTCATTATTGGAATCCACATAAGAAAACTGACATGGTGACAAATAGGAGCCATCCGACACATGAAAAAGTTGTCTTGTGCCATCACAGTTTCTCAAGGCTGATGAATCAGTATTCCTATCATTCATAGTGAATGTGATCCTTTAAAGGACCTTACTAGAACTCATTTTGGAAAAAATATAATTTAAAAGCCCCTTTTCTCCCATTCCTCCTCAACGTTTTGATGCCCTTTCACAGGTCTCTTGTTCTGGAAGTGGCTGCTTGTAAGTCACCTGAGACTTATCAAATGTGTGCATTTTCAAGGGAAGATAGAAGGTGACATACAGAAGAAAGCCCAAATTATGCATAGCAGTCCAGCTGTGGACAGCCAGAGCCCATTGTACTCCAGCCATTCTTCCTCTTTACCCCAGCGAGGGTTGTGGAGAAGGAGGTATACACTGGTTCTGTACTCACTGCGATCTCTCCTGCAATTGGGGTATCCCCAGCTCCCTTTGTTTCATTTACAGAATCTGTCCCCAAGTCCCTCAAGTGCAACTTTAGGGCTGAACTGAAACATCTTCAGTAATGTGGCCATAGTTGTCAGTTGACTAGGGGATGGTTAGTAACACCTGTAGCTAGGATTTAAGAAGCTACCAGTTAAGAAGCTTGAGCTTAGTAGCAAGGAAGACTGAGGATAGAACAGGGAAGGAGCTGCAAGGTTTTAAGTTAATGAAACTAAGTCGGGCATATCGGACCTTTGATTTTTTGAATCTAGGATAAGCAATCTCACAGAACCACTTCTATGTAGAGAAGGCAAATTAACAATAATTCTGTTCAGTGGAAAATAACAGGCATGCTCAGGTGTTCATTCCAGAGTCCAACAATCCCTAGAAAAGCCTGAATTGTTTCCTTTCAGAAAGAGAGAAAATAAAAGGTTTGTTTTTTATTTAGGTGTCGGAAGTTGGTAAGATCAGATGCACCCTCTGTTTAAAATTTGATGTGGGGGAGTAAATCGTATAGTTGGAGAGGGAATGGATTTATTCTGGTAGTTACTTTCAATCTCTAACTATAATGCCATAGTACTGCAATATCTTGATGATCCTACATATCATTTAGTCACCTCCTGTCTGGACTACAGCAATGCGATATGCCTGGGCATGAAGCCATCAGCCCTTAGGAAATTTCAAAGGGTATAGAATGCTGCAGCATGTCTCCTCAGCAACACGGGCTACCATGAGCACATCAGACCTGTCCCCTCCTCTGTACACTGGCATCCTGTAGAATATCAACTCAAGTTCAAAGTCTTGAAGGCCGTATCTTCAGGATGTTCAATGGTCTCCGCCCCACATATCGTCACCAAAACCCTTGGTGAATAACTGCATGGCTCTGGAGTGCCGTGGACCTTTGTGCCTTGAGGGCAAAGCTTGGCTGTGCAGATGACCACTTTCTCTGGGGGCCAGGCTGACACCGTGGAGGGTCGGGGGAGGACTATCGCAAAACTCCTCATCTTCTGCTCCAAATGCAAGGTGCACTTCTTCAACCTCCCTTCTCCAATTGCAACACAGAGCAGTGTAGAAATGTAAGAAACAGAAACCAGCCCTACACAGCTTACACAGTTCTCCCCTGGGAACAGGAGAAATGAGAGAGAATGAACCACATGTGACAGACATTTAGTGCACTACTGGAAGGCACTTGGACACTACAGCGATGAGGTCAATACAAGAACCTGTATATGACAGAATATTTTGGGGAGGTGGGGGCTGAAATATTGTGCCAGCAACATATTCTATGTAGACAGGACAGATCCAGCCGGGGTGCCTAACCTCCTCGCTATAAAACTGCCTGTGTTTCATAATCACCAGAGAGCCTCTAAAGCTGGTGCCGGTATTTAGAAATCTCTGCAATACATTTAGCAAATTACCATATGCTTTTTGTATTTTAATTGATTAGCTCTTCGTGGATTCCTTTCATCCTTTTCTATTTCCTTTCCTTCGAGTTTTCTTTTCTCCATGTCATTCTTATAGGCTGCAAGGATTCTTATATTGGCCAGAAGTGCCATAAATTAATCTGCCATCTGTTAAATGTGATATATTCCACAGGTTGGCTTCCTAGCCTACTGAGTAACAGTATCAGTGAGATTTGTTATAAAGGATGCATATGTTGCATGACATCAGAAGTTTGTTTCAAGATGAAACTATTTTTTGCTCTGTGTACATTGAAAGATCATCAAATGTGAGCCGTGTGTTTCCCCTGAAGCGTTGTCGGCTACCAGAGCAGTGGAAAATTGTACAGTCTATGAAAACCTACTCATCATCTAAACCTGCAGACTACTACTTATCTGTTTATGCATCAGTTCTGAGAAAACCGTGAGGGGGGACCTGAGGGGAGGGCCCAAAAGAGCTAGTTCCATCTAGTTCTTCATCAGATGGTAGAAGATACACATTTTTTAGTTTCTCTCTTCATTTTCTAGTTTCTTGCTACATTCAGTGGCATAAATTAAAGGAGGGGAGAAGGCAGTCACTACCCTTCCCCCACCTTCCCACACAAAACACCCCATGGCTGAAGCATGTAACTTTACATCTATTAATAGAAATATCTAGAGATGCACTTGATAGTGTAACATAACTAACTCTGACACAGTCTTGAGTCCACTATTCTCATGTGGAAAATGCTGCTAGTTTGACGTTAAGATTGTTCCTGTGCATTTCCCATGTAATCACAAATTTTAGGAAATGACCATTTGGGACAGCCTTCATTCGCATGCTATATCACCCTAATGTCACATTACCCTCATGCCCTTGGAGACTCCTTGCCTCTACAACTAACTCAATCAGTAGCTCTTCCTACACATGTGGTCTTTGCTTTCAAATTTTGTGTGCATACACCTTGAGTATATAGAATTAGTTTTATCATCGAAAACATATAGCACTGTTAATGTTATTCTATGGACTGTGTTACACAGTAAGTGAGACTAGATCATCTAATGGCCCTTACAAAGATGCACATCTTTTCCCTGCTCCAAAAAGCTTGCTCTAGTAGTTGCCCAAATTTCTTTCCATGTTGGATGAAATGGGAACTTCTGGAACCACGCCCGTGGTGGACAGTTATCTGTAAAATATGTATGGGATCTGATGTAATTAGTCACTTTGTCACATAATAACTCAATTATAAAATAAAGGGAAAAATATCAACCCAGCCTGTTTGGCTTGGAAGTCTGTCTTTATGTACTTAAAAGTTTTCATTATCTCAAAATAACACCCATCTTTTGTAATTCCATTCTTGACTAATTATTTTATGCAAGTCATGGATGGTAAACTCTAGAATGAACTAATCAAGCCTGCAACTGACAAGTGATTTTAGATGGAAAAATATTTCACTTTAAATGCAGAATCTAATGAATTGCAAGATCCCTATGTCCGCAGAGACTAATGAGATAGTTTGAATACTGTTATCCAAGGCCTCAAACTGCCAAGAATGTGCGCAAGTGTATAGGTTCAGTGTCGTCTTTAAAAGAGATTAAACAGGAATGCCAAGTAATTTGTGTCTCACTGCTTTTTACAAAATGTGTAGTGATTGCAGTCTGCAAGAGTTGCTGAAGATTCTGCCGATGGCCATTACAATTTATTTACAAATCACTACCTTTCTTATTTTCCAGATTATTCAGGACAGAATATTTAAGCACATATCACGTAACAGTTTAATATGGAACAAACATCCTGGAGGGTTATTCGTATTGCCACAGTATTCCTCATATCTGGGAGATTTTCCTTACTACTATGCTAATCTAGGTGAGTGAATCCTTGCTTCTGGACCTCACACGTATTGGGGTATTGTTGATTTCTGGATGGTGTGTTGTAAATGGCTCACCAGAAATATCTATCTAATGGCATTCTTGTTTATCTTGTCCTCCAAAACAGTGGCTTTCAACCTTTCCAGACTACTGTACCCCTTTCAGGAGTCTAATTTGTCTTGCGTATCCCAAGTTTCACCTCACTTAAAAACTACTTGCTTAAAAATCAGACATAAAAATAGAAAAGTATCACAGCCCCTATTCCTGAAAAATTGTTTACTTTCTCATTTTACCATATACTTATAAAATAAATCAATTGGAATATAAATATTGTACTTACCTTTCAGTGTATAGTATATACAGCAGTATAAACAAGTCATTGTCTATGAAATTTTAGTTTGTACTGACTTCACTAGTGCTTTTTACATGGCCTGTTGTAAAACTAGGCAAATATCTAGATGAGTTGATTACCCCCTGGAAAACCTCTGCATACCCCCAGAGGTACACCTACCCCTGGATAAGAACCACTGCCCCAAAACTCTGCCCCCTGCTGAATGGAATGTCATTGACTGACCTGCATAAGTACAAGATATCATGTTACCCCTCTAATAGCTGCCACCTACAGAGAATATTGTAACAAACCCATGCCCTCCCAGCATTTTCTGGTTATCGTTATGTTGCAGATCAGTAGCTGGCAATTTCATGGCAACACTGGTTTGCATCCGTTGCTTAGCTCTGCTTGACAATACTCAGAGACAACAGAAGTTATTCGCAAATAATTCTCTGAGTTGATAGTCAGTATAGATCCACCCTCCCCACCCTCCAGCCTCACTTCTTCAGAGTCTCTGTATGGGTTCTGATTGAGTGGCAGGAACTGAGAAGAGTTTAATCCCTGGCTCCTTTAGGCAAAGACTGAATGTTGAATTCTGCAAGGGAACATGCCTGCAGCCTCAACAGTCAGTGCTTACCAGGGTTCCAACTCTGGTGCCAGCAGCATAGGTCTGACAGGCTACTCAAAGAACCACTGTTATATTGTAAAAGGAAAATTTGGATGTTGAGTTGTTGTGGAAGAAGAACTAAGAGGATTCAACAACACTTCCAGTTAGGGAGGAGAAAAATGACCGTGCCACCAAGGTTGTGGGCCTGGGTGAGGTGAAAGGAGAATGGTATTTGCAGCAGTAGTGAAGGGAGGAAGCAGGTAGGATCTACCATATGCCACCAGTATATGAGCTGCTTGAAGGATGACTGGAATCATATATCACTGAAACTTGCAGACTCTCAAGTATGGATGGAGGGGGATTGTTCCTCAACGGGCAGGCAGAATAGTTAGTCATCAACTCAGAGATGATCGTTGAAGCTTTGTGTGTGGATGAAGTCGCCCTTGGGTAGGATGTAGAGGAAAAAGGAGAGGACAAAGGACGTGACTCTGAGGGATGCTGAAACAGAGGGGAGAAAGAAGTACCATTGGAGATGTTGACGGAACTATTGGAGAGGCAGGAAGAGAGCACCAAGAAGCCAGCATCTATCAGGAAGTCCAAGGGGGAGGGGGTGATTAGTCGTTTCAGTGGCAACAGAGAAATCAGGAAGCATGAAGATGAGGGAAAAAGCCCTTAGACTTGGCCAGGAGAACTTAACTGATGAACTTGGCAAGGGTAGTTTCTGTGGAGCAAAAGGGGAGAAACCCAGATTGCAGGACATCCAGGAGGGAATCAGAGGAAAAGACGTAAAAGCAGAGATTGTAATATGGACAGAGCATTCAGAGAGCTGGGGAGTGCACCCTCTTCTGGAGCATCTGGCACTGCAGCGACAGGATACTGGATGAGATGGTCTGATCCAACATGGCATTTCCTTTGTTCTTAAATGGTCTTTTTCCATCTCTGACTTCTTTGATTTATACTACACAAGGCAGCTTGGTCTATATTCAACTTTCATCCATTTTTCATTTCAGGTCTCAAACCCCCCTCCAAGTTCACTGCCGTTATCCATGCAGTAACTCCCTTGGTATCCCAATCTCAGCCTGTGCTGAAACTCCTGGTTGCTGTAGCCAAGTCCCAGTACTGTGCACAGGTGAGCCCTGCTGTTTGACTGTCAATCACTTTTGAGCCAAAGCCATCACAGAAACAAAAACCCAGGTCTTGTCACTCCTCCTTCTCGTTTCCAATTCCCTGGTTTAAACTTCGATCCTCATTGTCTCTGAGATCGCTATAATCAGAGACCTTAACCAGCATGTGTGGGGAATAAAAACTCTGAACTTTAATAAAAGTGGAAAACAGATGATCACAACTCTGATTTATTTTGGGAAGAGAGGTAAAATAACAGCTGTGCTTTACGAGTAGGGCATATGTATGATATAAATAACAAAAGGATCAATAGGCCTAAAGGACTATTGACTGCCTTACCTCCCTTTATCTCAGCAGCATTTGGACTTCTCACTGCCTGGTGATACTATCTCAAGAAGGCAGTAGGACTGCCCTCTACTTTGAAGAGTCCATGAGTGCTTTAGACTTTATCAAGTGCCCAAGTAAACCAGTGACACCCTCCTGAGTAAGGCTAGAGACTCTCTGGTTTTCTGTTCAGATGGTATTTGACTGAGGGGATGTAGAATTTATTGTCAGGGTGGGTGAGTAGCTGGGGGATGTTATTTTTATGCCAACTGGATATTAATTTGATCGTGTCGTCTTTTTTGAAACTCCTAAACTGAATCCATTTGGTGCTCAGGGTCCTCCAGGCTTGAACTCCACAGACGTAAATGTACCCATGTGTGTCTAACACCGAAGGTCAATCTTCCTTTCAGATCATTGTTTTATGGAATTGTGATAAACCCCTCCCAGCCAAACACCGCTGGCCTGCCACTCCTGTGCCTGTCATAGTCATCGAAGGGGAGAGCAAGGTAGGCGGAGAGAAAAACAGTCAAAGATTGCAAGTATGGTGCAGTGGGACTGGGTACTTACTTCTCCAGCTGGCAAATGTTTTATGGTGACCAGGTGGATGATGCCCCTTCCTTTACCTCTGCCTTTTGTACCAATGTGATTGCAGACTCATCATTCTAATGAAGGTTCAGTGCATGAAGTTTGTCCTTTCATCACATGTCAGCTATTGATCAAGGGGGCAATCAATACTGCGAGTCTGAGAGTGGCATAAGGACCAAATTTTCAAATGTGGCCACCTAGAGAGGAGGTGCTAATCTTGCATGCCTGTGAGCAGGCAGGAGCATTAAATTAATAATGCACCCAAATGCTAGTCTGAGTGTTCTGACGCAGGATTTGAGGACCCTTCATCTGTGTTCAGATTTGGAAATTAGGCTTCCAGCAAAACTGGCAAGTGTGTTCTCCACCAGCTTGTGCGAAAGAGCTGCTTTTATTGCTTGTATAGCTGTCAGCAAGGACATTAAGGTGCTCACAAGGAGAGGGTGGGGAGATATGCACAGCCTGGGAACCCAGTGGGATCCAAACACAGTTGAATGGTCAAGAGAAGACAGCAAAGGGGGAGAGAAAAAATTCTGCCATTGGGCCAGGTACTCTGTTGCCCTCCCCTGTGCGTAGTCATTGGCACGAGTGCAAAGTGGGGGTAAAATGCTACCAAGTGGTAATAGTGGCATTTTTTGCCTGCTTTGCACGCGTGCCAATAATCGACCCAGTGCATTGGCATGGAGTAGAGAATCAGGCCCATTCTTCATCATCTCTCTCTAATGCCAATGCTGGAAGTCAGAGCCGAGGCATCTGAGTTGGGCCAGTCTGTGATTTTTATCATCTTTCTCTCCCTCTGAATTCACAGTGTGATGTTTTAGCTGCTTTAGCTGTAAAATCCTATTGTGAATTTTTACACCTTGTCTTCGCTCTTTTCCCCAGTAGGCTTAACAAGAGGAAAGTCAGGGCACCGCTAAGCTGACAGCTAATAGTTCTGCCTTAGTCACTGGACATGTAAACAGGGTCAAGAGAATTGCTGCATGGCTAAGAGAGGCTGCTGCTGCTGCTTGGGGATTTCTGAGCATTGCGAACATTCTGGGCTTTTTTCCTCTCTATTTTCATACTTTGTGAATTGCCTGGGACTGGGAGGCGGGGTATGGGGAGACCACCTGGGCCAATTCTAAGCATATGAAGAAGCTGTTTAATTTACAAACCTATCTCCCAAGTTCCCAAAGGAGTGTTTATGGTGGACAGTCTCTCCTTTCTAATATCACATCACGTACCAAATGGCTTTTGAAACAGAAAAGCTGTTTGTTTTCACAAGTCTTGCTGAGCTGCTCAGTGTACTCCAAAGATCTAACAAAGGACTTACTTTTCATAGTTGGCATTTCTCTAGGGCCTTCCATCCAAGGATCCCAAAGCACTTCAAGCCTCATAACACTACTGTGAAACAGAGACGCATTATTGCACCCATTTTACAGTTGGCACAACTTGGATACAGATAAAAATTAATGGCTAGCCCATGCTCACATAGTAGGTGTGTAAAGGAGGCAGGAACAGAACTCTGATTTCCTGACTTCTACTTCTGTTCTTTCACTATAAGAACAGTGTAAGTGTTTAATTGCATGGGATTATTTTCCCCCCTCCTCACTGAATTATTTTTCTTCATATATTAGTGCCAATTAGAAATCCGCTATGGAAACCAATCTTATCTCTTTTACTTTCTGTACTGGTTTCCCATTGAACACAGAGCCAAGTTTGACCTCAGTTCTGTTATTGGTATCCCTCCACAGGAATAACTATGGCTACCTACCAGACTGTCCCTTCTTCCACAGTCATGACCTCACATGACAGCTAAGTTCCACCCGAACAATGACAGTTGTGTAGAAGACCGAGCTTTCACAGGAACTAGCCCAGGACTGTGGAACTCACTTCCACATGAGCTCACTATGTGTTTTCAGAGCTAATTGCAAAACTCATCTCTTCATCTTAGTTTTCATTCAATGATTTCTTCACACACAGTGCGATTCAATAATGCTTTGTTGGCATGACTAGCTGTACAAGTGTTGCCAAAGTATAATAAAGAGATAGGCCCCACGGGTATCTGTTAGAGTTAGGCACATACAATATACACTCTCTCTCACTCACACTCACACACACACACACACACACACACACACACACACAAAATCTATAAACTAATCAAGCAATTGTTCCTACAGGCTGGAAAAGGAGGGGGCGGGGGGAAAGAATGCATGTGTAGTGTTCTAATATCCATTTTTTAGTACTCAAAAAAAGCTTCGATCCCATTGGTAATGCAGACCAAAAATTACCTAAATAGATTCCCCTTTTTTATTGTCATCTTCTTTCCCCTCCCCCTCCTCCCCCCCCCCCCCCCCCCCCGCATCTAGTTCCCATTACACTGAGACATATCCCAGGTTAGCATAAAAAACATGGTCTACACACCAATTTTATACCAGTATAATGCCTACTGTGGATGCAGTTATACCTGTATAAAAATGCCTTGTTACCTCTATAGATTATTCTCTCCTTCCCATACAGGAATAGCTATACCTGTATAAACACTTTTATACCATTATAATTGCGTCCACACATGGAGGGCCGTACCATTTCAACTATACTATAACTATACAGTTAAATCAGTACAACTTGCGTGTGTAGACAAGGCCTGGGATGCAAGGTGGGGTCATTAGCTTGCCAACAGAATGGCCCTATCAAAGGTGCAAGGTCTCTCTGAGCACTTCATTTTATATTACTTTCACACAGTGGGGTGGGGGGAGGTGAGGGACAACTCTAACTGCCAGACAGGTGTCAGCCATGAAGAACCCTACATCTGTCTAATTCTCAGCAGATGCAGTTACAGTTTGGGTTTTGGAGGAAGGCAGCCTGCTCAAGAGAGACAGATCTGCTCAGAAATTAATTCCTCAGGTACAAGGTATAAGCTGACTGCTGGGCTGATGGAAAATGACAGCCTTTCACCCTTGAGCTGAGAAATCCTTCCTATCAGATAAAGATGTACGATGTGCCACGGATGAAATAAGAATGAAGAGTAAAATAGAATATGCAGAAGGGTTATTTTCCCCTTCTCTTGGAAATGAGTGTCTCAAGTGATTTCCCTCTCCCCTCTCTTTTTGAAACCCACAGGTTATGAGCAGTCGCTTCCTACCTTATGACAACATAGTCACAGATGCTGTGCTAAGCCTTGACGAGGACACCGTGCTTTCAACCACCGAGGTAAGACCCATCCTCTTGAAATTTCTGCGGCTTTTCCAGCCTGATGCCCACCCTTCTTCTTACGACCTGTTTGCCAGAGCGTGTGTGTCTTATAATATTTCCCGCTCACACCCCAGGTTTAATGTATTGCATTTGTCTCAAAAATCTTGCCGCCACCTGCCAGCAGGAGAGGATTTTTTCATGGTTAATTGGCATCGTTAGCATGTGGTTCTTCCCTTCTTTATCATTTTAGTAACATAGGTGGGTGTGGACAGCTAACAACAGTCTGTTTTAGCATTGTATTTCCACTGTGCTGATCATGGTTCCTCCCTTTCCCACACATTAGCTTCAACAATGGGACATTATTTCTGCTTCAAAGACAGTATTTCTGCCTGGGTACAAGTGTTTTGATTTTTCTCCTACACACATGCGCTAACTGTATCACTGTACCGTAGAGCTGGAGATACATGATGGTTGAGACATTCCGGCATTTGTGCCCGGAGCAAGATTGCACTAAAAAAAAAAAAAAAAGCAGAGAAAGGAAAGTTTCTGTAGAAAACCAATTTTTACAACTGGGATGAGTATTGATTTCTGGAAGCTTGTCCTGAAAACCACAGAGGAGACTAATGACTGTTTATATAGAAGTACAATATATCGGAAATACATTATTAATGGTGGCTATTGAAAAGCTTGGAGACTTGATTTTCTTTTCAATCTTCTTTTCTTTTCCCCCTCCTTCATCACATCCAGAACCATTTCTTTCTCCCCACTTTCCCTCACAGTGCTGCTCTTACTATTGTCAGTAGTCGTAGCTCTTTAGATGATGCCATTACAGGCAGGGATGCCCAAGTTTTGCCAGACTGAGTGCTGCATTGACAGCTTGCTATAAACCCTCAGACTACACATAATTTACCTCAGAGAGTCTCCTTGCCAGTGTGGAACTACTAGTCCCAGCATTCAGCCGTTCAGCTGATCCATGGGGAGGTCCACTGTAGTCCCCATGTGCTGCACTCTGTATTATAGAAGAGGGCAGCATTGGCCGCCCTCAGGCCACACCTGGGCCATTCCTGCCAGAATGGGAAGAACGCCACCTCTGTGAGATAACATGGACAAAGTCCAGCGTTCTCCAAGGAAGACTCCTTGCACTGGCCCACGGCTCAAGATTGTTGCTCAAGACAAGGTGAAATCCTAGCCCTTTTGAAGTCAATGGCAAAACTCTGATTTTGTTTGGGGCCAGGATTTTACCCAGAGTCTCCTGCAAGGTACTCCAGCAGCCCACTTTGTTATTCCCATCACTTCCCTCCACCACATACACCCGTTTTAGTGGTTGTAATCCTAGTCATTGCACCTTTTTTGGGTTACGCAAGGCAAATAATGTGCAACAGTTTTTCACTGAGTTTGGCCCCTTTTTATGTTAAAGAGGTGGCAGAATTTTAATGTTTGCTTGTTTTGTGAAACGATTTGTTAATTTCTTCGCAGCATTTTCACTGCTCTGAATAATTTGCTGCAAATACACCTCTACCTCGATATAACGCTGTCCTCAGGAGCCAAAAAATCTTACTGCGTTATAGGTGAAACTTGCTTTGATCTGCCAGAGTGCGCAGCCCCGCCCCACGGAGCACTGCTTTACCGCGTTATATCCTAATTCATGTTATATCGGGTCGCGTTATATCGGGGTAGAGGTGTATTCAGAATAATGTGTGTGTCTGCGTGTGTTAGCGCCATACGTCAGTTGGGCCCCTGTCCTGCAATGGGAAATATGTGGGTAGGCCACTGAGCCTAGGTAGAGCCCCATTCACTTCAGTGGGACTGCACGTGGGGGCAGGAGTTTACTGCATGCTTTTCTTTTCAGGATCGGGGCCTTGATATTGCTTCTGTTCCCTGATTGGATGGCTTATGTAAATAAACCTAAACTGCATTTCAAACATAGTTGAATTGTTGAGTTCAGAATTCCCTTTCAGCTAACATTTGTACTTAAAATCCACTTTTCCCCAACGTTCATCCTAGGGAAAGCAAACAAAAAATTCACAAGCACGGTCAAGCTGACATTTCAAGTGTGAATGAATATTCACCAGACACGTTTTCCACTCTTTGCTCTAGTGTTAATAAAGGTTTTTCATTCATAATGAAATGAAGCCTAATTTCTATTGTTTTCATTTCCAAGGGTAGCAGCCCAAAAGTGCTGCTTGGAGGGATATTTATATGGGAAGCAATTAGAAATCAGTATGGGTTGGAAATGATACGGGGATTGAAGTGACTGGTTGCTTTTCCTGCTGATCAGCTGAGTGGTAATGCTGCTTAAAATTATCTAGGACAAGGAGTGTTTTAAGGGGATAAACTGTGACTCGTCTTCTCCTAGGGATCTCAGCTTGTTTTAATGCTTCTTTCCATTACAAGGACAGATATTTAAACAATACATGAGTGAGGGCATTAGCTGGGTTATTAGTAGTAGTAGGTATTTGTAGATATAGATGGTTTATTCTTATTTTTCTTAACCTGAGATTCTCAAACTCATCTAAAGAAAACAGATGTCAGGTTTTACAGGAAAGGTCCTTAAGATCAACTTTAGTACTTTGATGTGTTAGTTCAGATCTCATCCAAATCATTATCACAAGAATTAACAACTTTAGCTGCATTGGCTTTCCATTTGGTTCAAGTTCCTTCAAATAACATGAAAGAATAGAATATGCCTCTAACTGCATGTTCCAATATGTTTGTGTCTCTTCTCTCTCACACACTAATTTGTAAATGAAAAAGCTCTGGCAATAATTACACGGAAATGTAACTGTTCTAACAGAAGTGTTACTGTATTAAAGCTGAAATATGTGTGACTCCTTAACACCACAAACCTGAAACTCTGGTCATGTTTGCTGAAAGGTTCATTGAGAGGTTTTTTGAGCAAAGTTTTGTCTGAGTCTAGGTTGAACTTCAGGCATCAGTGCAGATTAATGGTTTTAGTGTGGAACTGAGGTGTAGCTCTCAGTAGGTTTGCATGATTTTGGCCCAGGTATTTATAGTTGACTTTTGCTCCCCTTCTTCTTCTTGATGGGCTTCCTAACCTCCTGCAACCCTTTTTTTTTTTTTTTTTTTTTTTGTGCTCAGAGGCGGGAATATTAAAGAGAAATTAGCAGTGTTGCCAGCTCTCACAATGTTATCATGAGGCTGCTGATAAAGTATTTTTCAGAAAGCCCCAGTTCCTGGAGTCATGTTAACTACATGAGAATCTCATCTATTTTTAGTAAGTTTTTGCCCGTCATGGCTGCAAAGAAAAACTTAAAAACATGACCCAAGTGTATCCTAAAAGCAGAAAAACCAGAAGGAAAATAGATAGAACCCCATATTTATTATTTAAAAAAAAAAAACATGATTTTTGAGCGAATCTCATTGTTTTTGGAGGACCTGACGTATGATTTTAAAATGCTTCAGGTTAATAACATTGAATTCATGCACAGAGTATAGTTGAGATGCTTAAAGGTGCAGGATGAGGCGATATGCAATGGCATAGAACAGGGTGGCCAAGCTGTGGCTCTTTTACAGTTAAAGTGAGGCTCTTGAAGCCCTCCATGCCCTCTCCATTCTCAGCCTAGCAGATTGTTTGGGGGAGCTCGGGGCTTCTGCCCTGCAGCGGCGTGGTGGGGCTAGGAGCTTCTGCCCAGCAGGCAGGGGTGCTGGAATAATTTTTATAGTTGGGGTGCTGAGAGTCATTAAACCAAACTGTAAACCCTGTATATAATTGAAACCACTTCAACTCCTAGTTCCAGCACTTATGGCAGCAGGGAAGGGGGTCTTGGGGCTTCAGCGGGAGTGGGGCTGAAGCCCCGAGCCCCAGCAGATGCCTCCCACGGGTCTGAAGCCCCGAGACCCCCCAACTCTGCAGGGCAGAAGCCCCTAGCCCCAACACCTTGTGGCAGGGCTGAAGCCCCGAGCCCTGGCAGTGGCACCCCGGCTCTCGAACTTCTGAAGATTGTCATATGCGGCTTGGAGGGTCAGTAAGTTTGACCATCCCTGGCATAGAAGTATAAATGCACACCCATATACGATTCTATTTGAAAAGGTTTGAATTGTAAAGGGCATATCTGCAAAATGTTAATGTAATGCTGCAGTGCTCAAGACTTCCTTTAACAGAAAAAATTAAAATGTGCATAATTATAGGGCAAAATGTCAAGCAATCGCTTTAATTTACTGATGAATACACCGAATTAATGTTTTGCAACAGTTCCAAGATTTTGAATTATGAATTAGTGGCAAGATAATATTTTGTTTTGTTGACAATTACTGAAACAGTTTGATTATTCATTTGGCATGTGTCTTTGCCTGCAGGTGGATTTTGCCTTTACAGTATGGCAGAGTTTTCCAGAGAGGATTGTAGGGTACCCTGCTCGCAGTCACTTTTGGGATAATACTAAGGAGAGATGGGGCTATACATCCAAATGGACTAATGACTATTCCATGGTATTGACAGGAGCTGCTATTTACCACAAGTAAGAAACCAAAGCATCTTTGTCTTTATTATTATTATTTTATTTTTATTTATTTATTTTATTAAAGGTGGTGAATAAATTTGTTCCTGACTGAAAGAAGGAATGAAAATCTTATCATTCCCTCTCCCCAAAAAAGGAACTCTTGTCTCCCCTCCAAAAAAAAAAGGGGTGGGGGGGAGAATCCTATTGGAAACATAGGTAGAGAATAGATGAAGCTCTCCTCTGTTTATAGGGTAATGATTTAAATTCCCAGTTTCGCTCTGGGGATCTGGTAATAATAACTGTGTTCCCTGGATCTCTTTTGAAGTCACTTGTATTTTGAGGCAGTCTAACTGCTCTTTTTAACACCAGGAATTATGCACTTCAAAGAAGCCCCAAATTTATTAAACTCCTGGGCCAAATGGCCTGTAGTGCAAAGGAGTGAAGGTTGGTGCCAGACTGACTATGGGTTTGTGGTAGCTGACTGTCCTGGCCGGTAGACCTGCTAACTCTTCCACCCACGCTTGAATCTTTAGTGCAGTGACCCCTTGCAGTTCAGGCACCGTATAGTGGCGAGAATTCACATTATTACCACTTCAGTAGAGCAGGGGTAGATAGGAGGCCTCTCTTAGCTTTTAATAAAGTCAAATTATACTGCTGTATCTGATCCACTCCCCACAAAGGAGGAAGTAGGCACCGGTTAAAGAGGGATCTAGATTTAGTTAGGTCCACAACAGAATCATCTGAACTGCAGTTGTGAAAGCCTTATTAGGCCACATTCCATTTTCTCTCCAACCACACCTGCTAAATTTTCTTGCTTCCACATGCTCTTCCTTACAGTTACACACCTTGGCTACGACAATGCACGTGGGCTCGTCTGAATTCTAGTCTTGCATTATCTTGCTTAAGATTTAAAGTCAACCCTATTTCTCTCCCACTAATTGTGAAAGGCCCAGTGGAGTTTTTAATTTTTGTATCCCTAATAGCTTAGTTCATCGTATCATTCTGCTTTTTTCTCCCCACTTTTCTGGTTTGATGGATGAGGCAACAAAGGTCCCATGATGTGCCCATGGGGGCACAGTGAGTTATGGCCTCAACTGGGATTGAAATCCTGTGGTGTCCATAAGCCCCAGTAAGGCAAAGACTTGCATTAATGCCCCTGTTGTTGGCTTTCTAGATATTATCACTACCTGTACACTCATTACCTGCCTGCCAGCCTGAAGAATATGGTGGACCAACTGGCCAATTGTGAGGACATTCTAATGAATTTTTTGGTGTCCGCTGTGACAAAACTGCCTCCAATCAAAGTAACACAGAAAAAACAGTATAAGGAGACCATGATGGGGCAGGTATGTGACTAGAGCATGTTTGATCACTTTTCACTTCCAGACCAGACATGTTTTGTAGGAGACCTCTGGGCTGAATGAAATTCTGCTCAATTTTTCATGATTCCTTGTTTGATAAAATCATGAATGGATCTGGGAACATTTTTGAAATTAATGGAGATATCCCATCTCCTAGAACTGGAAGGGACCTTGAAAGGTCATCGAGTCCAGGCCCCTGCCTTCACTAGCAGGACCAAGTACTGATTTTGTCCCAGATCCCCAAGTGGCCCCCTCAAGGATTGAACTCACAACCCTTGGTTTAGGAGGCCAATGCTCAAACCACTGAGCTATCCCTTCCCCATGAACCGAAGGAAAATCCAGCAATAGAGATGGTAAATATCTGCCTGTGGAATGCAACGTCCTCTCCCTCATTTTCCCATGTTGTTTTATTTATTCATGGTGATGTTAAACTCATGTAATGGATTCCATGACAGCTGAATTTCAGTTAAGAGAATTTTCTAATGCAAGCCTATTGTGCCGTTCTAAAAAAAAAATTTTTTTTTAATGATTATTAATGAATGTAATGTACAGACCAATCTCTGTGCTATTTAAAAATAATATCGCATTCTCAATGTGACTGGAGCAGTGTTCTTAAACTGGGTCACAACAGATGTAATTTGTTATTTTCAAATGTTTATTTCAAGTTGCTTCATTAAGGAGATAAGGAAAAACCATCCACATGCTGTTATATTTGTCTCGCTGCTGACACAATATGATCAACAGCCTCTGTAGTTCCTAGGCGAATTATTTATTTGAAAATTAGTTTTCATAGTGAGCAGGTTTGCCTTTTCCAGCTACTAGCTAAGGATCCTGCCCCCTGAAAAGAATACCTTTTATAACACGGAAACTTTGCAAGCATGTCGTTCTATTGTTCTTGCCTTGCATAAGTGAGTCGTGGGAGTAGAGGACACAGAGCGCCCCCAGCAGATCTGTGCAGGAGGCAGCCCATGGCCAGTGCTGCTATTGTGTTGGAGGGAAGAAAGGAGACCAGTATTGCACACCAAAGAGAAAGATGGGAGTTGGATGAGGGCATAACCATGGCTCCAATTGATAGTACTAACAATTCAGTGCTCTGGTGCCACAGATACCACTGGTTGGTGTGCTCACTGAAGCACCCAGAAGAGGGCCTGACATGGCCAAAATGCCTCCATCTGCACCATTCAGAAGGTACCTTCTGCTATCCACAGAGCTGTACTTTGGCTCTTCAGTTCAGACTACACACAGGCTTGCCTTTGCAGGAGATGGTGATGTAAGTGAAAAATGAACTACAGTTGTTTCCTAAAACAAACTGAATGGTCTATGTTCATAATCCCTTGAAAAGACGAATAAAAAATTAACATAACAGAACCTTAAGGTTGTGACACCAATTAATAGTCATATGGAAATTCAATGCTCATGGCTGGCTGTCTTCTATAATCCTCCAGCACACTTTTCCTAGCCTGCCCTGTTGTGATTACATATAATCAAGTGTCTGGGATTAGTACACATTATAATCTACTGTTCGAGTTAAACTGGCCAGTTTTCCTGACTCTATCACTGTTTTAACATTTAATGAACACACCTTGAGTTTCCGTTGTTTAAAAAAAAATTGCAGTACAAACAAAAGTAAAGTGTCATGCAAACATATGAGAGATGGCACAAAATCGATTTTAATGGCACTTTCTGAGCACTTAGTCTGTTGTTTCAAAGAATTGTTTTGGATTGAGTGGGTTCCTACATACAGTGAGGTGCATTATTTTCCAAATAGAGAATAACAACTCCTTCGAAGCTTTTAGGGCCTGATTTTTCAGAGGTGCTGAGTACCCATAGCTGCTATGGACCTTAATAGGAGTTGTGGATGATCAGAACCTCTGAAAATAAGGTTGTTAGTATTTTAGGTAAATACGAAATGTGGCTTTCATACTAATTTTGAAAAGTGCTATATTATTAGCATGACCTGATGGGATGTAATCACTTCTGTGATTCCAGTTTATTTTCTCTACTTCTCTATCGAAGTGTATTGTGCTGGCTCCATCCACCGTGCTGTGCTGTCTGTGCACCTGCAGTGCCATTTATTTGTAGGCAATATTCTAAAGCCCTGATCATGCTGACACTTACACACCTGAGTGAGTTTTTGCATTAAGAAGTTCCACTGGACTCACGAACTCAGTGGAATTACTCATGCATAAGGGATGCAGGACTGGGCCCTCAAAATGAATTTTTGACCTGACAAACTATAATGGTGTTACAGTGTTCATCTCTTAGGGCTCAGTCCTGTGAGATGCTCAACATTCTCCACTGAAATTGACTCCAACGTCAACTCCCAGAATTAGGCATTTTCTGGCTTCCTCCAACTCTCATAGACCTCAGTGGCACCTGAGCCATTAGTTTAGGGGCCATTTTGAAGCTCTTACGTGAGCACTCTGGCTAGTCAAGCTGCCATGGGTGCCCACTGATGACGTGTGTTTAGAATATAGCTTGAGGGTTGCACAGTTAGCTCTGACATTTGCACCCCCAATGGCTTGGCCTTTTGCGGGGGAGTAATGTTTTATTGTCCGCTATCAAAAATAATCTGGGAATTGGGTTGAAATAGAGAGATTCTAGAGTAATGCCTTGACGTATTTCAGGGGATGTATTCCGAGATATTTCTGTTCTAAACAAGCCTAATGATCATCATAAGACAAAAGACTTTTAACAGTCACAAAGGCAAAGGCATGCACTGCTTATCATGTTGACCAATATTGTTTCATTATTTCCTTGTATTCCCCCATCTGTCTGTCTCCATCTGTTGTCTCTTGCCTTACACTTAGACTGTAAGCCCCTTGGGGCAGAGACTGTCTTTCTCTTCGGTTTGTACAGCGCCTGGCACAATGGGTCCCGGTCCATGACTCGGGCTCCTAGGCGCCACTGTAATACAAATAATAAGTAATAATAAGTTGTCCAGCTGTTACTAAGGTCAGAATTTGATCCATGTGGCTTGAACTGTAGCTACACCGCTACCCCGATATAACGCGACCCGATAAAACACGAATTCGGATATAACGCGGTAAAGCAGCCCTCCGGGGGGGCGGGGCTGCGCACTCCGGCGGATCAAAGCAAGTTCGATATAACGCGGTTTCACCTATAATGTGGTAAGATTTTTTGGCTCCCGAGGACAGCGTTCTATCGGGGTAGAGGTGTACCAGCTATGTATTTCTTACCAAATTTCAGCCCTATGTTGAGGTTTTAGAGCCAGGTGATGAGGTGCTGAGATCACCTCACAGCACAGCCTTGGTAACATCTTGTCTCCTGCCATTTACAGAGCGTTGTTGACACGATGACTTAGCATTTCCTTTCTCTCCATTCAGACTTCCAGGGCTTCCCGCTGGGCTGACCCAGATCATTTTGCCCAGCGGCAGAGCTGCATGAACACTTTCGCCAGCTGGTTTGGCTATATGCCGCTGATCCATTCTCAGATGAGGCTTGACCCTGTCCTCTTTAAAGATCAGGTCTCCATCCTGAGGAAGAAATATCGAGACATTGAACGACTTTGAGGAGCCCTGCTGAGGGGCCTGAACTGTTCTCCATGCCCAGTGCAGATCCACGGACACTTGGAGCCAGACTGTAACGAGGACAAAAACACATGCAAGTGGAAAGCAGAGTTGTGTGGCTCCAAGGAATCATTGTGCTGGACTGCTTCAAACCACCTCCCAGGCTTCTGTCGTTCAAGACTAGGTTGTGTACAGTTTCATTATGGAACATTAAATAATTATTTTTGAAATGATTGCTATGCAGGTTAAAACTTTTTTAATGATCAAAAAAACCCACAACTATTAAAAACAGAGTTCTTTCTTTAATCAAAATGGTGTTGGGTGTGACTATTTCCAAGTTGCCATTCCTTTCTTACAAACATTCGAAGCTGCCATTGCTTTCTTACAAGCATTTTAATATCATTGCAGGGAAAACTGAATGAAAATTGCAAAATTAAAAGTTCAGCTCTCACAGGTAGAAAATGCAGCAGTTTCAAAAAAAAAAAATCAAGCACAAACAGGACAGAAATTAAACATTGTTTCACTTAATGCCTTTTTTGGTTTTAGTTTTTTAATTTTCTCTTTCACTGCTCAAGTCAATTGACAGTAAATGTATCAACCATTCTATTGCACAGAGGGAAAGCGGAAGAATGTCCATTTAGTGAAGCATAGTTAAGATCCTTCTGTTTAGGGAACAAAGACAATTAAACCCTATTTTTTTAAATGGGGAAAAAAGATTGATGCCTAGGAAAGATTAGTCAATTGTCTGGTTTGCACAGAGAACAAAACAGAGAGGATGGAAGTCAAAGAGGAGGAATCCAATGCCTTTTATTGGTGGTGGTTATATTCGAGTTATGAATGAATCATAAGAAATCATCCTGACTTCTCTCATCAGGGTGTGGCAGGAGTTTGGAAGTTCTGTTTTAATTATATACCTGTTATGAGTGGAGGAAAATATAGCAGCTAAAGCTACAGTGATGGGTAAGCTACAGTTTGCATGAGTTGCTCTTCTTGTGCACATGGGAATATGTATCATGGTGGCATTATTTATGTCACAATAGTTAAGGGTCTGTCAACATTCCCATTTTAATCCCCTTGTTTTGAAGGGGGATGGGAGGAGGAGCTTGGCTTATAAGGACTTTGCCTGAAACCAGTTGTATTGAGGAAAATCAAATCAGTCTAGGTATTTTGTAGTTGTAAGAGTGAAAGCAAGTAGCCAGATTCCATCTTGGAGTTCTGTTGGTATGGAGTATGTCTATCAGTGGCAGTAGTTACTCCAGATTTAACCCACAGTAACTCAAGGTAGAATCTGGCCCAAAGATAGATCTGGTAGTTCCAGGTGCTTTTCTGTTCTCCTTATAACTCACAAATGGTTTTCTCATTTCAAACAGAAACATTTCCGTTATTTACGCCATAGTGTGAACTAGTTACGTATATGTTTAAATTGTGGGAATAAAATAAAAACACTGATTTAAGCTAAAAAGAAGCGATTACAATCTATTGGATAAATAAGCACTTTTATCAATTGTTTTAACTGTCACATATTTCCGCGAGATGTCTCTGGGTATTTGATAACAATAATCACGCTCAAAAAAGTGTGTTAAAATAACAGCAAGAAGGTGTGACTTTGGTCCCAGATAAAACTACTGCAGAGCATTCCTTACCTCATTCCTTTGTGTCTAGACCAGTGTTTCTCAAATGTGGCCACCAGGGACTTTTCTTGTGGCCACACTCCTGGGTGGTGATTGGAGGAGAGGGGGGGAAAGCAGTGGCCCTTCCCATGGAGCCACCAGCAGGGGCTGGGCCTTGTTCCCCTCTGGGGACACAAACGCTGGAGGAGCAGGCAGCCAATGAGTTCCCCACCTTTCTGTGGGGACGGTGGGATCAGGCTTCAGCCTTGGGGTGGTGAGCAGCAGGCTCCAGGCGTGGGGCTTCATCTCTGCCCTGTGGTCCATCCCCAGGCCCCATTCCCCGGGTGCAGGGCACAAAGCTCTATCCCCCAAGCTGTGCCACAGCAGGCTCCAGCCTTGGCCCTTGGCTGTGCAGCAGTAGACTCCAGCCCTGGGCTCACCCCCCACCCCCCATTACCCCTGGCCCCTGCTGCCTCTGCCAGCCCCCCACCCATTCCCCTTATTGCCCCTGGCCCACTTGCCTCCCTGTCCACCTTCCCATCCAGGGTTTACTTTGGCTCCTGGCTTGCTGGTGCTGAGTAAGTCTGCTGTGAAAAGTGATACTTGTATGTTTGTTAATATCACTTTTCACAGCAGACAGCAGCTAGCTGGGAGGCTGTGCAAAGTGATATTAATATGCTAGCATCACTTTTCACTGCAGCAGACTTACTAGCCAGCAACTCTTTTAAAAACAACAACAAAAGACAAGAACGTGCAAAGCACCTTATTAGTGTTTCAATTCTGTTTAGATCCAGTAAAGAATAGAGACAACTGTACGTTATTTTTATCTGCAAAAAAACCCCAAAAACCAACATAAATAAATTACAATGATTTGGACATGTATATGTGCATATTTGTTCGTTTTTTCCTAAAGTTAATTAAATATTTTAGGAAAAATTGTCAGAGTAGCTACCAGCAAGAGTTGGTGGCCGCACTCTGAGGCCATCAAAAAAATTGTTGTGAGAACACCTGGTCTAGACAGTTGATACAGGGGATGGAGAGAGCATGCTCTCGAAGCCAGAGAAAGAGTGAAGGTGGTTGGGTCAGAGTTACTGGGTTCTATTCCTAACTCAGCCACTGATTCCGCATGTGGCTTTGGTCAAATCACTTAATCACTGTGTGCCTCAGTTTAGCCTGCTGTAAAATTGACATAGTAATGTTTATCTCCTGGAGGGGTGATTAAGTTTAATTAATGTTTGTAGCAAAACATATAAGCTCCTCAGCAGTAAGATATAGAAGTGCACAATACTATTACTGTTTGTTAGTACATGATCTCCTGTCGGGATATTCCAACCAGTGGCTTTCTTTCCATATGAACCGCAATAACCAAGTACAATACAGTGAGTTAGGGGCAGAGTTCTCAAGTTCCTGGCTGTGTTACTTAAGTCTGAGCCAAACCCCATAAAGGACACTGCCAAGGTCTTTTGAACTTTCCTTACTCTAATTTTTGCAGTTGCCAATTAGGGAGCAAGAGACCAAACTCTGTTGGCCTGATTTTCAAAAGTGCTGATCACCCAACTGCTCCCATTGGGTCTCCTTTCTTGAGGCCTCTTATTTAGGTGCTAAAATATGGCCTATCTTCAAGGCACCCATTTGTGAACATTTTGTCCTGTCATTCAAAGTAGTGGACAAGCCCAGCACAGCTCCTGGTTTGTTTGTCTTGTTTGTGGACAAGCACATCGCTGTTTCAGCAGCTCGCTCTGGGAGCTAGGTAACGGGCCTCTAGCCAGCAGGAGAAGTGCCTGAAGGTTGGGGGGGCTAGTTCATTATATAAAAATAATGCCCAGAGTTCTGCTTTTCTTTTCTTTTTTTAATATGGAGATATACCTATCTCATAGAGCTGTAAGGGAACCCAAAAGGTCATCGAGTCCAGCCCCCTGCCTTCACTAGCAGGACTAAGTATTGATTTTGCCCTAGGTGGCCCCCTCAAGGATTGAACTCACAACCCTGGGTTTAGCAGGCCAATGCTCAAACCACTGAGCTAGACCTCCCCCCTATTTTATGTAATGTGCTTTCTTGGCAGAGTAGGATGGGTTCTTAAGAAAGGGGAGTGGGTATTATCCATTTTTAAAGCGCAGCAGGTGAAATCTTGGGCTAAAACTCTTTGACAGCATCTCTTCAACATTCTTTTTATGTCGTTTCCATGGGTGGCAAAAAGAGAGTAGGGGGCTAAATCTGAATATCGTTCAAGGCTCTTTCTGTTTACAAATCACTACTTAAAGAAGCAACTATAAAAAGCTGAACTTGAGAACGGTTTCGGATAGGTATGAGACACTTTTCTGTATAACACGTTACCAAGGCATAGCCATCTCTCTAGCAAAGAATGCATCTCACTGCCAACCTTGCTAATGGCCATAGATCTCTCTGCCCATGTGTGGCGATTCAGTTCCTCGCTGAGTTTTGAGAGTTGGATGCAGATCCAGTTTAGAACTTTATGCATTAGCCACAGTGAAAACTTTATCAGCCAGTGCTCCTGAAGGATGCTAAGCATGTTTCACACCCTCACATGTCACTATGCCGTACAGGGCTGTGCAGTTTCTGTAGCAAACAAAATCCTCCTTTATCATGTCCTATGAATGTGTCAGTGTTTATTTTTTTCTTAATTCAAATGGTGCTCAAGCAAAAGTCTCTCCTTGTTGCTTTCCTCTCTTGGTTTTTCTGTTCTAGGTTTGTTTGTTTGTTAACCTTTACGTTACAGGTACTTGAATGCCTGCTGACTTGAAGGAGTGTTAAGCATGTGGCCTTTAGTAAAGGTTACCAACCTTAATTTCATCTGGGGTGACTTGGATGTATGTGAATAGATCCATGCCATTAAAACAGAATAAAAACAGGGATCAGGGGTTGGGAGAAGTAATGAATTTTTAATTGAATTTATTAAAAAAGAATCCCTGCTTGGTTGTTGTTTGAATGAGACCCATTGCTGGAGGAGGGTTTCATAATGAGAAAAACGAGTCACAAAAGTAGGGGCAAACTTCCAGGATTAGAGAATGCCTGGCTCCCTCCCCAGCGCCTTGGGGCTGGGTGAGATCTCATTTGCTATCCTTCCATTTTTGAAAAACTCTGATTATTACCACAACTTTTTCTAAATGTGAATGTTTAAGCTGTGCAACGATTTCATCATGATGTGCAGCTATCGAGCACTTTGATCTACCTTTCCATTTGAATCCACCATGGATTTGATCAAGTTGAGATTTCAATTTCTTTTTAGAGCCAGGTTTGACAAAGAAATTAATCTTTTACCAATGAGCCCCTCTTTTAAAATAGGTCTTTTCCAAAAAACATTTTATGTCAAAAATGGAAGTGATCATTTGACATTGAAACAATTGTACCAGCCTATATTCAGCTGTACATAGATTTTGTGTCCTTAAAAAACAAAACCCTCTCTTTCCCCTGCCTAAAATGCAACGTACTTGTGTCTGTCTCCCCTACCCAAAACAAAAGAATAGTATGTGGTTGTCGTAATAATACCTTTTTTGATCAAAATCTATTTGTTAAATCCCCAAATCAAGCAGTCTCTTACATCAAAGAAAGGATGGATTTGTTTTCCAGTCTGGCTTTGCTGTTGGAAACTGCTGCTTTAGCAAGGTGCAAAGAAACATTACTGTGAAGGACAGTAGCCCAGTCCTACAGTGGGATCTATTGACTTCAATGGGACTCCACATAGATGGCCCCATTATCCTTTTCAGAGCCCTGTAGAAGTCAGCTGAGCTTTCTGCAGGTGCCGGGGTCTGCCCACTGCAGGATCAGAGCCGTTGTCTCTAGGATAATGAAACAGTCCTCCAAGCTTTGTACGTCTCACTCTTGCGTAAAGTGATGTCAAGCTGGCCTATTTACCATTTATTTTATGTCATTACATGCTTTCTAACAGCTGTAGTTAATTTCTTTGTAACCACCTGATGCATTAGGATTTTTCTCCCTCGTTGACATGAATTATCATTTCACACTGAAATTAGGGGTGATCAAATGGGCCTTGTGACAGTGTACATAATCTTGTATATTTATTTTGAGAGAAAATATGTATAGTATATGATTGAAAAGGATGAAAAATCAAACTGGGAATACTTAGATGGGCAATTGTAAAGCAAACAAAAAAAATCATACCTTATTTTGTATAAAATGTACATTTGGGGGAAAAAATTTCTAATGTATTACCAATGTTTTCATAGTGCTGCCACATCTTTTTTTTAAAGCGTCCCCTCTTCCCCCCATTTGACTATAATATGGTGTAATTAAACTTCAAGGAAGTGTGTAACAGAGAGAGAGAAAAAAATTACAAAGCCATATTACTTGATTTACTTCATTAACCTGTATAACATTATAGGTTTACCATCAAAGATAGGTTGTTTTATAGATAGTGTCACCAAAGACTTTTTTTCTTCAGATTTATTAAAATTTTTGTTAATAAATTATGTACTATTCTGTCATAGTGTGTTTATTATTTTTAATGAAGAGCCACAACTTTGCTTGTACTTCTGACAAGCAAATGGGAGGGGTGTAATTGTCATTTATCTCAAAATCAGATTACTTACTGATAACTGCTTTTTCCTGTATCTATTTTCTCCTCAAACTGTACAGAGGAATGTGTGGATGTGTCTTACAGTAAATATTTTATCT